TTTTTTTTTTTTTTTTTTTTTTTTTTCAGGTAAACTTGTCGTATTCTTTTAAACAAAACTTTATACATCAAATGTCATACTTTTGTTTATGTTTTTTTAAATATGACATTTCAATTTAAAACCATGTATATATCTATTGAAAAAATAGACCGTTGGACATGTCTAATAATACCCTTCATGTTTGTCCTAAAACAACATGGCCAGAAGAAAATTTGTTCCTTGTACTCAACAAATTTTAAATATTCAGTTAAATCTTCCAATATTGTTTCCTTCCACATTTTGAGTTACAAAAAATTGTGGCATCCAATACACTAATTGTTAGGTGATAGGTGTGTTCATGTCTAAAAGTGAGACATAGAGTTATTTGACAGTTGGATCAACTCACACTTATAAACGTGTGGAAGTGAGTGATGTAATTCAACATAAAAAATTCGATAAAAACATTGCCATTACCCTAACATTAGTTATCTAAATTTTTATGGAAATTAGCATCAAATTGCGAGTACACGAACGCATAAATAAAATTATGAGTGAGGAGTCGACTTATGGTTGTCCTACTGTTGACCTGCGAGTGAGGAGCCGTGCATGTGGCTGGCCACTACGCTTTTATAAGTTGTCTGTCGGTCGTTCGAGCACTAATTTTGATCTAAAATTTACTTTTACCGATAAAAAAAAATATAGTACACGAACTAACAACAAATTATTACAAGAAAGTGAATGCCATAACACACAACAAAATCTCATATTAGAACATAATTCTTATATTACGTATTTATTACTAAGCATCCAAAACCTTAGATGCCTCGAGCTCGATAGCCCGTTTGAGAAAATCAACGGCCCGCATCCCAATCCTCGAGCGCCATTTGGACCGGACAAAACCCGAGCCCGTGGCTATGACCAGCAGCATGCTCCAAGGCCCGGCCCACAACATTGCAGATTGGGCCTCGTCGTTCAGCAAAGCCCAAATTGTCAGACACATCGATTATCACAACCACCATTGTGAATATGTTGTTCTTTAGTCTTTACTAACAAACCAAAGTACCAAACCCACACGAAAACTTATTAGTGGGTTGGTGAAGAGTAGACTTCATTATTTACCATCCACTTTCGCGCCATAATCTTGAAAAAGGCTCTTCATGTCTTCACACGTGTATTTATACGTACTAACAATTTCAAGATTTTGAAGACACAAATGATGTCAAAAGAAAAAAATGGTTGAAACATTTGTTTGATATGAAGACCACACATTCAATGCAAATCTCAATATTCCCCTATAGAACAATCATTATTAATACACAATCAGTATGTATAACAAATATGGAAAATTTTTACCTGTATAACACTTTAAAAGTCGTGTAATCTAATGGCTCCAACTCCTATCCACATCGATAGCAACAAACTATGTCGATAAATAGAATGTAATCTCACCACAACATTATCCTTAAGTTAATTATTACGTAGTAGAAATAATATTAATAATTCAATATATAAGAAAAGTAAAATAAAGACAACAACATTTGTTTCTATGTTATTTGAATTACCAATCCATCATGGCTAAAGTTGGTGGTTGGGCACTTTTTCAAATTTTCCACAATACATTTAGATTAATTTAAACCATAGTGGACACACCACTATAAGCCACAAAAGTAACATTAATTAATAATAGTATTATAAAAAAGGTAAAATTACATTTTTAGTCCCGCCGGTTTAACGCCGTAGCATTTTTAATCCATAAATTTTAACTTTTTGTCTTTTGATCATGCAATTTAGTATTTTGATACAATTTCAGTCCTAAATAGGACTGAAATTGCAAAAAAAATTAAAATTACAGGACTTAAATTGTTAATAAAAAATTCATCCAATATTAGCAATTTAAGACCTGTAATTTCAAATTTTGTTGAATTTTCAGTTCCAAAAGACGGAAATTGCGTTGAATTTCAAAATCATAGGACCAAATATCAAAAATGTTAAATTCTTAAGATTAAAAACGCAATTGGATCAAATCAACAGAACTAAAATTACAATTTTGCTATGAAAAAAATAAAAAATAAAAAAACCACTCCTTTTCAACCACCCCAAACTTCATAATTTAAACAGACAAACCCCCCAAAAAAAAACCTTTTAATAAAAAACTCACCCTTCTAATTTGTTCCCAAAAAGAAAAAGACCAATTTAACCTCAAGACCCTCTCAACTTGCATTATGAACTCAAAATCCTCATCCCTCTTACCTCTTTTCACAATCTTGATTATTTTTTACCCAGTTTTAATTCATTCTGATGATGCAAAGGACAAACAAGAGTGTGCACAGCCATTGGCTGGGCTTGCCACGTGTCTGCCATACGTTGGTGGCTCAGCTAGAACCCCCACACCAGATTGCTGCACCGGGCTGAAGCAGATTTTGAAGACCAACAAAAAGTGCCTTTGTGTGGTTGTAAAGGACGGAAATGACCCTGACTTGTCCCTCGGTATTAATGTCACACTTGCTTTGGGCCTTCCTCAGGTTTGCAATCAGCCTGCTAATGTTTCACAGTGTCCTGGTAAGTGCAAGCTCGAAACCGGGCTCGACTCGTTTACATCTCTAAATCGCTGCTTGTAAAACATTTTTTAATATTGTTTTTTTTCATATGATTATATCATAAAATAAAGAAAATCGAGTTTATGTACTTAATCATGAGCCCTGTAGTTTTGATATGATTTAATTTTGAAATATATTTTGTGCAGCTTTGCTCAACTTGCCTCCAAATTCACCAGATGCTCAGATTTTCTATCAGTTTGGGCCCAAATCCAGCAATGCTCCTGCCAGTAGCCCACTTGCTGGAGGCCCAACTCCCAATGGTATATGTATTTGAGAAAATTACACCGTTCACCTACAAATTTCTACGGTTTTGCTATGGAGCCATCGGATGGCTCGGCTTATGGAGTCATCCATTGTTTTTCACAAATGATGTATTGACACGTGTCTTGCAATTAATGCACATTGGACATGTGTCAGTATATAAAATTATGGATGGCTCCATAACGGAGCCATCCGATTGCTCCATAGAATTACTACAAATTTCTATTTATTTGCACATCTATATATAAAGTTTTTGTTTTTAATTACGAACTTCTACAGTTTATAAACTTTATAACCCGTTTATGAATGATTTACGATTAATTTTACATGCCCGAGAAATAAATTTTGTTGACGACCTTATCAAGACGATGTTTATATGTTTCATGCAGGAGCTGACGGGCCAAGTGCCGGTGTTCGAGGCATTGGGGGGAGAACAAACATAAGGAGGCCTCAGCCTAGTAACAATCATGGAACTTGCATCCAAGTGAAGAGAAAATGGCTTGGATTGGAAATCATGTTAGGACTAATTTTATCATATGGTTTAGTTATGTATTATTAGGTTCAATATCATCTTTGGATTTGTGGAATAACTCTTTGATAGTTGATACTTAAAACTTTTGTTTGGGACCATATCTATTTCTTTGTACTCCATCTTGAGAATCATGAGTTTGTTACTTATTTCAAGTTCAATAAAAGTAAGATGTTAGTGAGTATAAAATTATTGTGTGAGGCAGCCTAACAATTAGGCGAATCGACCTATTATATTATGTGAATAAAAATGTATACTTGTACTATTAAATGTCATACTTTTATTTATGTTACTTTGTTTTTGTAAAGTATGACATTTTATTTGAAAATATGCATATTTGTAAGACATTCATATTTGCATTACGGAGGAATGAGAATGACATTCAAACGTTACAAAAAAAAA